TAGTCCCAGTCACTTGGGAGGCTAAGGCAGGGGCTTAAACTTTAGATTCTTTAGCTTGAACTAAAGATTTAAGGCTACAGAGACTAATGATCATGCCACTGTACTATAGCCTGTGACAAAGCAAGACCTTGTCACAAGAAGGAAAGAAAAGGGAGGAAGAGAAGGAAGGAGAGGAAAGAATTGGAAGGAAGGAAGGAAGTTAATTTAGGGCTTTTTATGGTTTTTATTCTGAGTGAAGTTTCTGGTTTGCATTATATAGGACTAGTAAAACTCCAACAGAGCAGCCATAAATCTTTCTGGCTTGAAGAAGGAGAAGAAAGACTGTGGGACAAACATAACCGTCAGCACATGAGGAGACAAATCAAAGAGAAGAGAAAGAATATCAGCAAGAAGGAGCCCTAAATTCTATATATAAACTTAACCCAAATTTCAGGCTGAACAATGAACTATATGCTTAAGGAGCTCAATCAAAATAGCCCAGTTAAGGCAAAGATAAGTAAATTGAATTTTGAGTGGCTCTCTCTCATAACCCAGAGTTTGTAATTTGAATCTAACTTGTTGGCTCATAGAAAGTAATCAGAACACTTCAGAATTTTAGGGAAAATGAAATCAATCTTAAGAACAAAATATTTACAACATATAGTATTCAATACAAAATCACTCATCTCATGAATAGGAAAATTAACACATTCTCAAGAAAAAAACAAAAAAACACAATCTATAGAGAATGACCACAAAATGATAGATTTTGAAATCAGCAAACAACAATTTTAAAGAAAGTATTGTAACTATGCTTAGGACATGAATGAATGTGCTCATGATGAATGAAAAAATAGGAAATCTAAGTATAGACAAAGAAAACATGATAATGAACCATTTTGAAGTTCTATAACTAAAAAACAGAATATCTAAAATGAAAAACTTAATGAGTAGGCTTAATAGTGGAATACAGATGACAGAAGAAGTCTTGATGAACTTGAAGACAGATCAGCACAACCCATCCAATCTGAAGATAGAAGGGGGATGAAAAGATTGAAAAAACTGAATATAAGCTCAGGGACATATGGGCCGATATTCACAGGTTTAATACACCTGCAACTGGAATGCCAGGAAAGAAGACAGAATGGGGGCTCGGCGCCTGTGGCTCAAGTGGCTAAGGTGCCAGCCACATACACCTAAGGTGGCGGGTTCGAATCCAGCCCGGGCCTGCCAAACAACA